CCCTCTTTTTCATTTATTCTATTTTTAATCTTTTTTCTGGCTCAACTAGGAGAGACTTTCATTTCAGATTAGTTAAAACCATAACACTACTATCTTCTTCTCGTTTAGCTTCGGGATAGGTCTATTCATTCAAAAACTGTGTGCACACATTTTAATATCACTATCAATTAAGGCATGTTCATTGCCTGTCACATGATTTTTCTTATTTGAAATCATATTCCTTTGTGAAATGCAAGCTATTCACTGAGGGTTCCAGAAACGAAGAAATGAGCATAAAACAGATGATGGTGACTTTCAAAGCACGGAAATTCAATAATACAAAGAGTTCAGTCTCTCTCTATCTCTTTCACACATACCTCTCCCCCTGATTATTTATAAAAAAAGAAAATGAATGTGGGAAAAAGTCCTTGAAAATGTAGCAACCAGTAGCAGAGATATTTTTAAATTAATAGTAGATTATTCAGTAAGGTTTTAGCATCTCTTCAGATGTATTTGAATAGCTGCAAAGAATAAATAATTATTAATGGAATTTACCAACAGGAGATATCTATTAAAAGTACAATAGCTTTCATGCTATTTGTAAAAAGACAGTTTTTACAATAATTGGAAAAATATTGTGATTTGGCACTTGAGAACTCAGTCAGGAAGTAGTCTTGGAAGAAAAATAAAATATCTTACCTGGATACTTTCCAAATATGCATATATTCTAGAAGTTCGTTCAGATAAAACTGACTGTGGTCATCGTCATGCTGTAGACAGAAGACTATATTATTATTTATAGAGTGTGTAAGAATGAGCACCAGATAAAAATAGATATGTAACTCCCTACTGACATTTTATTCACCTCTTTTGATAAGCCTCATTCATCATTTTTATACTTTGTCTTAAAGACCTCAGAAGACGATCTTAAAATTCTACAGAATTCTTTCCAATAATAAAACAAAAAGTTGAATCTCCAAGAGAGTCAAAAACATTCCTGCCTGTCTGTCATTGCCAAGTTCAAAAGTTAATATATCTTAATCAAAGGCAATTCTCAATCCATCTGGTTAAGAGTCTTCCTCACTTTCACTGACCCTCCCTCCTCCCTTCCAAGCATGATATCCCTCAACATCCCCTCATATTAACATGTCCAAAGTCAGGGAGCTCTGGTGGCCTAGTGGTAAAAAGCTACAGTGCAAAGACACTCAGTTTAAGTCCACCAGCTGTTCTACTGGAGACAGTAGAACAATTGAGAAATTAATTTCCTCTGAAAACCCACTGGATGGTCAGCTATAGGTCATTTCCAACTTGACGGTACACAACAACAACAATACAAAAGCAGTATTTGAGGAGCTAGTTTGTACTACCTACCAAAATTATTATTACTTATATTTAGACCTGCCAGAAGTCCAGGCTGGGTTTAGAAGGGATCGTGGTACTAGGGATATTGTAGCTAATGTTAGGTGGATCTTAGCTGAAAGCACGAAATACCAGAGGAATGTCTACCTGTGTTTCCTTGACTACGCAAAGTCGTTTGACTGTGTGGATCATAACAAACTGTAGCTGACTCTGAGAAGAATGGGAATCCCAGAACACTTGATCGTGCTAACATGAAACCTATACATGGACCAAGAGGCAGTCATCAGAAC